AGAAATCGGATGTTGTTTGTGTCTCTAAACAAAAACCCAGCGGTGGGACAATTGTATGTCTCACTGTTGAAATGTGCTTTGACGACAAATTGTGGTGCAGAGGCCATTGCGTAGGATTGTTTGAAGGTTTGAAGGTTTGAAGGTTGGAATGTTTGAATTTTATGAGTTATTCGAAGGTTGGAATGTTTGCAGTTTATTGATTGTATGAAGGTTTGAATGTTGTAAGGTTTGAAGGTTGGAATGTTTGAACTTTATGAGTTATTCGAAGGTTTGTATGTTTGATTATTTGAAGGTTTGAAGGTTTGAAGGTTTGATTGTAAGAACGTTTGAAGGTTGGAAGATTTGACAGATTAAGTGAATCAATATTATGATAAACGTAAGACTAAAAATTTCAATTAAGTAAGGATGTAACCCCCAAGGCTGCCAATAGTGTTACATGCATGGCATCCCAAAGGCTGTCACGTAGCCTGAGCCTAGCCTGCAACCAAGGACACCTCTTATTCGCCAATTGGGGTGGCGACACCTTTCATTTTTGTACTATTTCGCCAAGTCCAATGGCGCCTCCCTTACTGTCCAATCGTGATACATGCATGCAGATATGTAACCCCCTAGGCTGCCACCTAGCCTGTGCATACTCTGCACCTATACTGTATGTTGTAAGTCTCCTCCCATCACCTCCAATAGGGTTACATACATTCAGTCATGGCATCCCAAAGGATGTCACGTAGCCTGAGCCTAGCCTGCAACCAAGGACACCTCTTATTCGCCAATTGGGGTGGCGACACCTTTCATTTTTATACTCTTTTGCCAAGTCCAATGGCGCCTCCCTTACTGTCCAATCGTGATACATGCATGCAGATATGTAACCCCCTAGGCTGCCACCTAGCATGTGCCTACTCTGCACCTATATTGTATGTTGTAAGTCTCCTCCCATCACCTCTAATAGGGTTACATGCATTCAGTCATGGTATCCCAAAGGTTGTCACGTAGCCTGAGCCTAGCATGCAACCAAGGACACCTCTTATTCGCCAATTGGGGTGGCGACACCTTTCATTTTTGTACTCTTTCGCCAAGTCCAATGGCGCCTCCCTTATTGTCCAATCGTGATACATGCATGCAGATATGTAACCCCCTAGGCTGCCACCTAGCATGTGCCTACTCTGCACCTATACTGTATGTTGTAAGTCTCCTCCCATCACCTCCAATAGGGTTACATGCATTCAGTTATGGCATCCCAAAGGTTGTCACGTAGCCTGAGCCTAGCCTGCAAACAAGGACACCTCTTATTCGCCAATTGGGGTGGCGACACCTTTCATTTTTGTACTCTTTCGCCAAGTCCAATGGTGTCTCCCTTATTGTCGAATCGTGATACATCTTTAGGCTGCCACCTAGCCTGCAAGAGTGACACCTTTCATTTTTGTACATGCATGCATATATGTAACCCTCTAGGCTGCCATCTAGCCTGCAAGAGTGACACTTCGCATGCATGCAAGCACCAACAACCACTATATGAAATTTTTTTGCCTATAAATACATACCATATCATACTTCTCTCACACCCACACAAGTCTCACTCTCTGCTACGAAATCTTTCATAATCTCTTACACTTTCTAAGACTTTCATACTCTCTATCTCTTCCTAAGTCTTTCATAATCTCAAGCATTTTAAACAATGGCTCTTCTAACAATGGGCGATTCTCACAGAGGCACAAGGGAAAATATTGCCGCATTTGTAAGTTTCTATTTTGGTTATACATTTTTCATACTTCAGATAATGCTTTGTTCGTCTTACTTAATCTTACACCTTTTACATTATGAACTCAGGACACAAAAAGATTCAGAATCCGTTCTCACAACTACCTGGCTCCCGACCCATTTATCGTACCATATCTGGAATACGCATGTTTTGGACATGTCATAAAGATCTCCAACTGCACCATTGACTCGAAGTTCATTCTTGCAATGTTGGAAAGGTGGAGACCAGAGACCCATACATTTCACCTACCAATAGGTGAATGTACCATCACGCTAGAGGATGTGTACATGCTACTAGGTCTCCCTATCGACGGTAAGGCCGTGAACGGGTCGGTTCAACAACCTAACTCTCAGTGTGAAGAACTGTTGGGCAGGGATATGGTTGAAGGTGGTGGTGCAAGAGGTCAGGGAATACTACTCACTGAGCTGAAAAGTCATTATGCAAGTTTGGAATTAAACGAAAATTCCTCCGAGCAAGACAGGGTAGTAAAAGCTAGAACTTATCTTATGATACTATTTGGTACCTTTTTATTTCCTGAAAGTACGGGAAATAGTGTAAATTTTATGTATTTACATTTACTAAGAAAATTTGAAAAAACAAGAAAATATAATTGGGGTTCTGCAGTTTTAGCCCACCTATACAGTTCCTTGTGCAAAAATGCAGTCAAGGAAAAATGTATATTTTATGGGTGCGCTTTTTTACTACAAGCCTGGGGTTGGTGGAGGATGGAGTCCTTAAACCCCGTCAACAACAACACTTTCGGTTTCCCGTACGCAACAAAGTAAGTCATCAAGTTATATCATTTATTACTATTCATCTCTTCACCAAATATATGCTAAGAATAAAATGTTTTTCATTTCCTTTAGGTACTGCGTGAGGGGTATGGATTACGGAAAGAATCCAAGATTCAATATCGCACTATACCGCAATCTGTTGGATCACTTAGGCCCGGATGACGTACGTCGTAGCTTTAAACTTTTCTTCATTTAAATTATTTATACATTACTTTTGCGTTAACCTGATTTAAATTTTATCGCAGTTCGTCTGGAGACCATATTTGAGTTTGGGCCATGATCCAAACCCAGAGGATGCAGCAACTTGGACCGCGAAGACTGCAATCATTCGGTTCAACATTGTGGAGATGCACCACAGCGACCGTGTGAAGATGCAGTTCGGAATGCATCAAGAGATACCAAGTGATCCAACTTGTTTGTCCCCATGGCATCTTAAAAGGGTCGACTCCCAGTGGGGTCTTACCTACTGGAAAGACTTTGCTCCGTAATGGTGTAAGATGTGGCAGAGGCGTGACCGCTATGTCTTGCAATTCCCAGTTTTCCTTAATCATGGTAATATGCGACACACAGATCAATATTTATCTTGGTACAGGTCGGTTAGTAACCCTGAAATGCACGTGTCTCATCCAAGGTACTTGGTTGACCCACGTACACAATGGGCACAACCCTCGTTTCCCCAATAACAAACCCAAAACCCATCAACCTCCCACCAACCCCCAAGAAGAAACAGACCCACAAACACCCAACCACAGTCCCCACCACAACACAATTACACTCAAATGCCACACAACCAACCACAATCACCACCTCACTACCAATACCCCGATATGCCTCACACCCAACCACAATACCAATCACAATACCAACACACCCGCATACCCCACACACAATTTCAGTCTTCCGTCTATCCCAATATGGGCCTCTCAATATCCAGCCTTAGCCCTGATATGGGAATGTCGGAAGATTACGAACAAACCGACCCAGCCTACCATCAACCACAATATCACCAAACCACCCAACATCCTCAATACCAAACACCCCAAGATCCATTTCCTTTCTACCCACCGTACTCAGACGATCAATGCTACAGACCCACCATGGAACCCCACCCACCGCCAACACGACCAAACTTTGAGGGTATGGGTAACCGACTGTACCAAAGCGGATCTTCTAGATATGGAGATCTAACTGATTTTATGGATCCGGACCGCATTGACTTCGCTGGGCCATCGACCCTGCCGCAGCAGGAAACGCGATGACACCCAGCACGAGAAAGACGAGGACAGGGATGCGGAACCGGGGGTCATTATCGGGTTCCGGGGGATCACTGATTTATCTGTTTTTTTCCTGTTTTTTTTATCCGTTTTTTTTATCTGTTTTTTTTTATCTGTTTTTTTAATGTAATACAGTTGGATGTAATTTTTTTTAATAAAAAGTCCATTTTGTTGATTCTGTATCCAACACGCAACGCACCGGACAAAAAAAATCAAATTTTGCCCTAAAATAACACCTAGGCGCCATCTCACTTGACTTAGGGCATGCCCTAAGCACATAGGCGCCAAGTGAGATGGCGCCTCCCCTTAAACAATGGGTGCATGCGCCAATTCAGATGGCTCCTCCTTTGGGGAGTCATCTGAAACATGGTTATTTGCGTAATTTTTTCCGAAACGCGGTTATTTGCGGGAAAAAAATTTAATACATGGTTATTCAAAAAAAAAAATTGTTTTTCATCGCTATATTTTAAACTTTCAGAATACTCTAACAATATAAAAGATATTTGAAAAATTCAGGTAGATCTTTAAAATTCTCTAAAACCCTCCTTCAATACAAATTTTAAATTCTCTCAAATTAAAATTTTTAGATGTTTTGAAAATAAAGTAACGCTCCAAAATCATCCAAACCTAAATTCTACAATTTTTGTCACTCAATCATTCTCTTTTTCCAAAGTCCTATATTCCATTCACATTTAAACTTTCAAACAGATCTTAAGAAAATGTAATGAATATCAGTTGTATTTTCAAATTAATTGTATTTTATTTTATTTTAATTATTTATATCTTTATAAAGATGTTACCGATTCAAAAACAATTATTATAGGGCGTAAAAGGGACAAAATAATTTAGAAGAATTTTAAATATAGTATATTATAAAAAATATTCAATAATTAAGATTTTTTTCTTTGACCAAACATATTAAATGTTACTTATAATTATCTATTTTATAATAACTAATATTAATAAAATTAATAAATCTTTTATAATAACTAATATTGATAGAAATCATAAATCACCACTAACTCTTTTAAAAAATATTAAAAACAAATAGAGACACCAATGAATTACCATAAAACGGTATCATATCTTGTCTATAAATTAAGCTATACTCATATAGCTTAGACATTCCAAAATTCTAGAATATTCATACTTATACACATTCTCAAACTAAGAAAGATGGAGAAGAGATCTATTTCTCTTTTAAATATTGTGATGATTTTAGGCATGTTAGTAACAACATTACATGCACGTCAAATTGATGTTATTACATGTCCTGATGCTCTTTTATCTTTGCTTCCATGTCTTCCTTATTTGCAAGGAACCGGCCCTGCTACACCAACTAGTGCTTGTTGTGCAGGTACAAATAATTTAAATCAAAAGGCAGACACAACTTAAAGTCGAAGAGATGTATGTAATTGTCTCAAACCTGCTGCAGCAAGATTTGGAGTTAATCCCGACAGATCAAAACAATTGCCAAGCCTTTGTAAAATTAATCTTTATGTCTCATTTGATCCTAGCATCGATTGCAACACGTAAGTTTGTCTTCATATATTCCTACTAACCTACACGACGCATTGATATTTCCTTATAAATATATTTTTTTGTACAGGGTTCCATGATACGTAACATGAGACATGGACAGCATGAAGAAAATTTGAAGAATCATTGTGATAACAACTATATGCGTAGCAATAAGATAAATAAAAATTTGTAACAAAGTCGGTAAGATCGGATAAGATTTTAGTATCTTATTAATTGAGAATAAATTCATTTTCTTTCTCTATTTTATGTTCATTATTTTAATATGAGAAATGTTAATAAGTGCATTCGGAGACTTGTTAAGAGTTTAAAATTATATATTTTGTTGATTAAATACTTGTATTCAATGTATTGAAAATTAAAATGATTGACTTTTCTAAGAAATGAAATATATGTTTTCTTAAAAATATTTGTATTTAATACATTGCAAATTAAAATAAATAATTTATTTAAATATTTTTTTATATATATTTGGAATCTTTAAACAGTACTCTTAGGCCACTTTTTAGCATGATCCTTTTAATATTTAATATATAATTTCATTTATTAAATTATACAATTTTTTTAGTTAAAAATGTCTTTTAAATCTATGTAAAAAATGATAATACAAACTAAAATATATATATTTTTGAATTCGACATGTAGTTATACCTTTAAAAAAATTAAAGTTAAAAGCTCAATAAAAATATTTAGTTTATAAACAATAATTAAACAGAAACACCTTATATTTTCAGTCAATTATATTCGTTAAATATGAATGGCCAAATTTACAAAGCTATTATCTACCAGATATGAAAAGTTTAAAATTGAAAAGTGTGTTAAAATCATTAGGTGTATCCCTTTAAATAAGAAAATAAGTAAGTAGAGTTTATATATAGCACTTAAGTAAATTGTCAGAAACATAAGTTATTATTAGCATTTTGTTATTGTGAATGTTTATATGCTTCCTACAATATAAATATTTCTTAATATTGTTCTTATTTAAAATCCTTGGTTACTTGCCCACCAACCAAGAGTAGGGTTTGCGGTGGAGAAAATCTCAGTTTTTTTTTCTATTGTTGCTGTCGCAGATCATTATCAAGTGTTTTAATAAGGGGGTATCTTTCTGGTTTCCTTTTTTTCTTTTATCGGGAGGATCTCTTCTATCAGGAGGGATTATGGAGAAAGTGAAAAATCATCCCTCTCTTTAAAGAGTGTGTGGAAGGAGTTACAAATGAATATGATGGAATATCGGGGGAGGAAGTATTCCAACAGACTCTTGTAAGGAAACTGTGGACGAACAACAACTTCAACGTAAGAGCCTTCATCAGCACTACAGTGGATGGTTGGAGACTCAAAAACCATGTTGAGACACAAGAGCTCAACAACAATATGTTCCTATTCAAGTTTACAATAAAGAGAGATCTGGAATCCGTGATTCAAAATGGGCCATGGAGTTTCGACCGCAACCTTCTGGTTTTAGATCGGGGCTGGACATGCACTTTGGCACCTTTTGCATTAGGGTTTATGATCTTCCGCTAATGTCGAGGTCTGAGACAATGACACATAAGATTGGATAGATCTCGGGGGTCTTTTGAAGAAATGCATTCAAGGGAGGCGAATAATAATGGGTGCTTCTTGAGGATCAAAGTTAAAATGGACCTAAAACAACCTTTGAAAAGAGGAACATGGGTGAGATTCAAGTAGAAAATCCATAGTCCCTATTTCAAGTGTGAGCGACTTCCCAACATCTATTTTGTTTGTGGAAGATTGTGGCATCAACTATAAGATTGTGAGGCGATTGATAATCTAAGAAAGGAGGGATATGAAGATCTCGATGAACATGACATGTCTTATGGGTTACTGTTTAGGGCTTCACCCCTTCCAAGGGTGTTTAAGGAACCAAGGAGGAAGGATTCGAGTTCAAGTAATTACAGCAAAATCATGTTCAATATATCCTCAAGCCAAATCAGATGCAAACAAAGTAAGAAGGAGAAAACAGGGGAGGTCCAAGTTAAGAAAGGAAAAAATATTAGTAAGAAACCTATTCTGAGGGTGAGGGCTTCTGGGGAAATTCAGGTGGTGGAGAATATGGAAGTGCAAACAGTGGCAAAGTCTCTTGGAGTGGTGGCAATAACTTATTTTCAAACAAAAGGGCCAACACAGATTGATGGAGGAGGCACCAAAAGGAATACCTGAAGTAGAAAAAAGAACTGAAGGAAGCCGAAACAAGATCAATTGAAGAAGATGGTGGATGCTGGAAGAATGAGACAACTAATTGATGTGGTGATAACTGATGGCTCCCTAGAGGGCATTGGCAATGGAGAGAACAATAGGAATCATACGGGGATGGAAGATAATGTTAGCAAGACAAGACCAGAGGTGGTGCTGAAGAACTAACACCGCCTTCAATAATGAAAATCATAAGCTGGAACAATAGGGGCTTAGGGAATCCTCGTACAATTAGAGCCTTAAAGAGGCTCATTAGATTGGAAAATCCCTTTATGGTCCTCCTAATGGACACTAGACTAAAAGATTTTGAGATTCAACATGCTCGTTCAAAATGTGGTTTTGCGTTTTTCCAAGTGATGAAGTGTAGAGGGAGTGGGAAAGATAGGGTAGCAGGAGTTGCACTACTATGAAGTGAGATTTTAAAGGTCAATATTATTTCCTATCATCTTAACTATATAGGGGGTTTCGTGATGGATGATGAAGAGGATATCTGATGGTTCTTCACAAGCATTATGGCTTCCCTGAAGTGCATAATAAGAGGAAAACTTGTTAATTAGTGAATCAAATTGTCCAGAGAATTAGGGAATCAATGGATCTGTTTTGGAGACTTTAATGATGTTTTAACTGATTCAAACAAAAAAGGTGACACTAGCAGGTCAATTAGTCAGTTGAGTTGGAGTGGACAAATGGTGAGCAATTGTGTAATTCATGATTTGGGGTATAAATTCTATAGATTCACATGGACAAATGGAAGACAAGACTTGGAGAATATTAAATATCACCTCAATAGGGGATAACCTCAGGATTTGCTACAAATTTTCCACTACCAAAGCTCTTCACCTCCCTCAGTTTAGGTCTGATCATATTGTCATTTGTATTAACCTAGAGGACCCTCTGGTGTGCAATTAAAAGAAGAAGGTCCAACTAGTTAGATTTGAAGAGGTTTACACTAAGGAAATATATGTGAAGAGCTTGTTAAGAAGATGGGGTTGGATGATACTAACCATAGAGTCAACAAACTTTTCACGATTCAAACCATCGAGGATTCCTTCAGATAATTATGACCTAGATCTATTAGGATAGAACTTAAATGATTAGAGGATCTCTTGAAGGATGACAATTGACGAACGGAGGAGGCGGAGGAAATCAAATCTAACAAGGCCCCGAATCAACAAAGAAATAATTTGTTTAGGGAAGAAGAAATGATATGGACACAGAGGAGTAGAGCCGTTTGGCTTAGTGAGGGGACTGTAACACCAAATTTTTCCATGGCATAGCAGAGCTATAAAGGAGAACAAACCATATAGAAAAATTAAAAGATGATAGAGGAATTTTATGGAAGGGAGAGGACCACTGTGAGAGAATTTTTGGAGAGTACCATGTATTCCCTGGAGGAGGTCAAACATGCTTAGAATATAATGTACCCCTTAAAGGAATTGGGATGAGATGGCCTTCCAACTTTGTTTTTTTCAAAAAATTATGAAACATTATAGGGATGGAGATGATGAACTTAGTATTTGGGGTGTTGAATAACAATCAAGACCATGTTTCCCTCAACAAGACACATTGGTCTAATTCCTAAGTGTAAGAATTCCAGCATACCTAAAGACTTTAGGCCAATCATCCTATGTAATGTGGTCATGAAATTGGTGACAAAAACTATAGCCAAGAGATATAAAGTCCTTCTTCCTAATTTTATTGATGAGTATTATTGTACCACAAAATTTTCCCTCTCATTTCTCAAGAAATCTCTCACAAGATCTCCATTGATTCAAGACTACACAAAGTTTGATCAGCTCAAGACACCTCCTCAGGCACTAATGACTCAAATTAGGGTTTGAGTTTTCAAAAGGATAATTGAACTTTCTAAGCCTAAATTTATTTTCATGAATCATTTTGGACCTTCAAGATTGCTCGTGTCAAGTTTCAAGTCTTGGATCACACTTTTGCTCAATCAATTGATCAGTTGACCTAAAAATCAGTTGTATTGGAGAAAAGCTCAACTGTGGTCAATTTACAATAAAACTTCATAATTTTTTATCCATATAAACATCATGAACTCATATATGTTAATTGATCAATTTTGGATCACAATTTCTCAAGAACTTTGATCAGATCATCAAAAAGGCAAAATGGTCAAAATTAGGGTTTTGATTGAGAAGGTGCAATTTTTGACTTTTGACCTAACCAATGACTTATTGGTTTAAGACATGATCTCAAGAATTCAAATACATAATTTTGACCTAATGGCATGGCTCAAAACATTTCTCAAGATCAATTGATTGATAATTGAATTTCAGTCAACTGATAAAAGTCAATTGTACACTGAAAAGTCAAACTTTGACTTTTTAATCAAAATCAAGTTCTAGAGATTACAATTCATCAAGACATGTCAAAATATGAAACTTTTTCATCAAGAAAACAAAAAGTCAAATTTCATTTTTGAAAAGTCAAAATTTCCAAGACTTAGAATTTTTCTAAGTGTTGAAAAGTTCACTTTTTTCACAACTTTGTGCCAAATTTCCACCATGATGCAAGATGATTCAAGGGAAACTTCCAACATGAAGGTTGTAGATCTCAATGAGATATAAAACATTGTAGGGCATAAATTTTTAATGAAATGCTTGGATCTCAAGTTATGAATTTGTGAAGACATGCTCATGAACTTAATAGACTTAGTGAAATTTTGCCCTAGTTAGGCAGGATTTTGACCTAACTTTATGGCAATTTTTCACCTAATTCTAAATTGAATTTTCAAAAATGTCCAACATGAAGGTTGTAGGGGA